GTGAACGCCTGGTAATATTCCATCGCTTTCAACTTGTGCATTTCGTAGCTGTCTCACGCAGTTACGCAAGAAGAAGCTTCAATGAAAGTTTTGGCGCAAGCATACACTTCACCCAAGCGACACATCGATCCTTACGCTACACACGCACTTACCAGACATACTCGTACGGCATACATCCACAAATGACATAACGCACGGTGTTCATGATCGGGCAAGTCGTTACCACATTGCTTATAGACAGTATTACAGAACGAGACTACGTATCCATGCGCAGAGGCGGTTCTCGCGAATGCACACAACTCCCGCTCAAGCAAAGACCACGGATAAATAACCACCGCACGGTAAAGATCCTCACAAGTTAGTGAGGAACCTTACGGTAGACCTTTCGTTCCCACCACCTAAGCGAACGTCCCCAAAAAATGTCCAACATGGCGATTCTATCGCCGTGTATTTATACATTTTCAGCCAAGTCAAGCCGGTTTTAAGCGGCTATTGGGTGAACCGAACGTTTTGGCCCTCAAAAGGTTCGTGCCACCCGGTGGCAGCAGACGCGGCCCTCCCAAGGACGTGACGTTCGCTTGCTTTCATTACATTGTCCATATACAGGAATGCGCCGTGGTAATAAATAACGCAGCGAACAAAACAAAGAAAGTCGCTCATACGCAGCCTCAACGTGTTGACGAGCACTCACGAATATTGTTTAAATGTACGATGCTGAGTCTTGCACAAGTTGCAGAGGAGATGAAGTCGGGTCAGTGCAATACTGACAAACGAAATCGTGTTTTTGAAGCCTCTGAGTTGCGCGGTGGAAACTGCTTGTGGGAAATTAAGTTATCTGAACTAAAGAGAAACAAAGAGAACTGCAGACGTTCTCTATACCGTGCACCACACGATTCACGCCATTGGACACTGGTTGACCTGGTTCATGGGAGTGCCGACCGCGCATTCGAAGGCCCGAGTGAACTGCACCGAGTACATAAGCGGCAAGTTACAGGCCGATGGTGGCGTGTTGCGGGCGCTGCTACCACGACACTTGGCGAAGCACAGCGCCATGAACAGGATCTGGAGATCGGTGTACTCCTCGAGTCCGGGGAGCTTTGCAGTGTCGACGTCAGCGCGGACCTGCTCGTACGCGTCGACGACGGCGCCGAGGAGATGTGTTTCGGCGACGTTGACCCCAGTATTATCCCCAAATGGACCGTTGCTAAGACAACGGGTGAGGTCGTCGATCGAGATACGTGACGTCGGCTGAGATCGGTAAGCATCTTCAACGAGCACGCCAAGAGCCCTGGCGACCTCGCCCCCGAGTCCTCCATAGTTCACCGTCGTCTTAAGCTGGACGTCGAAGTGCGGGAAAGAGAGCGCGTAAGGCATCAGCGTGGAGTCGTGGTGCGCCCTGGACAAGGCCAACAGGCGCATCTCAATAATGGAGGCCGAGAAGGCACTCTCCTCCGCGTCACCTAAGCCGTCGTCGTCTCTTATCCTCATGTTAACTGACGAAGATACCTTTCGGAGGTTGGCGACGAGGGAGTCTTCAGTCAGTGGCGGCATCGTGCCGCCCATGGTCGCAGTGTTGGCGGCATGGCTTTCGATATATCCAGTATCAGTGACAATGTCACCAATCCTACTGCGGTCGTTGCTGCCCAACTCCTGAATGCCACGTCCAGTAATGACCATTGACCAACCACAGTAGTGTTCTGGTCGTAGCCTCCCCAGCAGACAAGTCACGTCCAGAATAACTCACACACGCCGAGGACCAGGTGACTAGCGTCTTGTCGCATGGCGGCTCTGGGGACGTGACGGTTGTAGCGAGAGAAGATGACGGGCCCAGTTACGGCGTACGCCAGCCCCAAGCAAAATGCCACTTGGAACGACAGAGCTCGCCGGGATTGACCGCCGTAGAAGTTGGCGATAAGGTTCCGGTTAGCCATCAGGGCGGCTACCTGCGTCGAAAGCGTGTTTTCTTTTTTTTTGTTTATTTACAGATGACCTCTTGTTACATGTGCACGCTACAGCATTAGAGGAGGGGAGGCCTTCGTTTTACAAACATTGATTTTATGCCTAGCACTTTCCCTCTGAGCACAATGATCATTTTGGCTATGTAGCATGTGAGTGACATATACACATATCACATAATGTGATGTGATGTTACCGGATGGCATGATGTCATGCGGCATTGCGCTTCCGAACAGGGCAGATAAAGGGACATGGAAGCAGTGACTTGGTTAGGATTGATGAACTGTGTTCTGAGAACTTTAATGTCACGAGTTTTACAGTGATAGGCTCATTATCGGAAATTCAGGTTGAAGTTTCAATTTTTAATTTTGCGATGAATTGCCGCACCTGACTTCACTAATTCCATTTTTTTGTATCGATGAAATTTTCCGATCGACGAAATTTTCCGATACACACAGATGACAATGCACTTCTTTTTGACCGACTAGAAACTACCTAGGACCCAGTAGATGGCATCAAATATATGACGTAATGTTGCTTCGTGCGGAATCCTCTAGGTGGCGTCTCCTCCGCGTTTTCTTTTCCCGTGCTTTCTCGCTTGCCCGGCGTCGTCTCGCGGGAAGAGTGGTGTTCTCGGGACTATGGAATTGTATTTTACTAATATGCTAAAAAACTCTCTTATTTTTAGTGTCCCCTTCATTGGTTGTGCTTGAAGATACGATCGATAAGAAGGCCGCGCGGAAGCGTCCGTGTATACGAGAAAAAGATATGCAAATTTCGGTCAAGTTGAAATTCAAAACTGAAGGACCTTCGCCGTATATATTACTGAGCGTTTAAAAACAGCCGATCATTCGAAGTTACAGCCCTCGATTACATTTTTTTACGTTGTCGTTGGCTTGTTAAGGATTGGATGTCAATGGCTAGGGTTCGTAAAAGGTTTGCATTATGAAAAGAGGATGTTGCTGAAAGCACGTGCAGATTATGAAGTGGCTGCAGCTAAGCCAGGACTGTTGATGACACTCAAATAGAATAAAATTGTGTGGCTACGCAACTGTTCATATTGTTACGATAAATGACACGAGGCGTGGCTATTTAGTATTTACGGTGATGAGTGAAGCATCGACCAAGATGGAGGACAGCACGCACAGCGCAGAGACCAGCCCACTTCTTCGTTGTCGTCTTCTGATCGCTGATATGTCAGCTTGCGTAGCAATAATAATGGGTGAAAGAATCCGAAAATACAACATGCGTTTGTTTGCAGGGAAGTGATGAACAAGCTGAGACGCAAGTTTCGCTTGGGTTCTTGTTGGTGAATTGTCAAATTGGCTAATTTGCGTCTGGCGGCACGAAGTCCAGGTTGGCTGCACGGCTAATTTCTGGCTACTTTTGAACATATGTATTAGGGCATTAAGGTTAATGACCTTCTTGAATTGCAGGGGTAATAGATTGCTTCCGAACTTTACTGTCACGTCAGCGAACGCGCACACACGTCCTCAGCCCATCAGCAGGCTGCGCATCGAAGCACACCAACGCGGAGCGCGAAGTTGCTGCTAGAAGTAATGACGAATTTTCGTGCTTGTTGGCAAACACGTGGCTAGCGCCCTGCTCGCTATCTTTGCTGACGCTATGCGCAGGTTTGTCGTTATTCTGCACAGACTGTGGTAAAACATAAACAAGATAAAAAGTCACACCTTTTCCGCGAAGGCGAGCCAAGCTATGAACATGATAGAAACGAATTGGAAGGTCACGCGAACAATGACAAGCAGATCGAAACGTGCCCTGCGATGCTCACGTATAAATGACAGAACGTATAGGTACAGATGAACGCGAATAAATTTCTCAGTTGTTACTTCTCTGTGTCTGAAAAGAGCACCCTTTTCGAAAACGGAGATTGTGAAGCCACTGCAGTGACTTTTGTGCGCCCGGTAACTACAGCACAATCGTTCCGGTGAAAGCCCAATGCGTACTATTCTCCACACCGCAAGATTAGAGCGCCACGTGTCTGCATTCAACTACCTCTTCCCGTGCTCTCCGCCAAATAAAAAATAAGCGTTGGAGATGAGAGCACGCGTCGCCGCGTCGTGACGATCTGGCGACGCAGGCTCATTGCGTCATCTCGCTGTCAATGGTGGAAACACTATAGTTCCTCCACGGCCGCGTGAATCGGGACGCGTGGCGGTGTTGCTCCGGCCGTATTCGGACAAAAGAGGCGTAATTGTAGAAAGGGGCGTGGCCGCTGCTTTCTCCACACCGCGGCACACGCCTACTACAACTCCATTCCTTTGTTATCTATGCGGGAAGGTTTGCGGCGCCTTGAAAATATCGCTGTATAGTAACCGTGGGTTAGCATACCACCTCCACCACCCTCGTAAAACGCACATAAAAGAATGGACGGTGGCTATCGCTATATTCTTTATTTTTGTGCGAGTGTGCGCCAGTCCCTGTCGTGATAATGGTGCTCGAGTGCGCTATGGCACGTGAAGCTCGCGCATTGGCATTCCTTCTATAGAAGGAATGCCATGACGATTGTCTTATTTTGTACTTGCCATGTTTGTGTTCAAGCGAATTTGCAAGCATTACACTTTCACGATGCATAGAATAGTTTATTTAAAATAGAATAATTTATGTATAGCATAGAATAGCTTAATTTATTTATTTATTTTCCGCACGTCAGAAAGCCGACATGGGACAATTTCGTCTGTAATTTGAGTGGCGCATCTTGTTGAATTCACTGGGTGCATATTCTCAATATTTTAGGAGATAGCCTGTATGTCATGAGTAGTTTCAGACGCCAGCAAGGTTTCAGAACCCGTGGGTAGGCAGATCGCAGACGCTGGAACCAGTTGGTGGCTTTCTTCACGGCCACTTGGTGTGCAATCTTCGACACTGTCACTGTTCACTGTCCAAAGGACGACATTCGTTGCAGGAACTTCACACGGTGGTTGTTCCCGCTCCAACTTTCGTCGCTTCAGTGGTATTTGCGGCTGCATATAGGTGGGGTAACCAGGAAAGACACTGGGAACAGCAGTCCTCTTCAGACGCCGTCTCTTGGGTAAATCAGAAGAGTAGTCATCGCCCACAAAATGCAATGAGCAGACGACGCTACTGGCGGACTTGTCGTTTGGAATGAAATCTTTCCTCTAAATGGCTTTAGGGAACTTTTGCTGGATAGTCTTGTCTGCAGGAAACTCGTGGAAGCTTACACCAAGCTTTTTCTTGGTGCTTGACTTGCAGTACGGCGCGCAGCAGTACGGCATGTTTCTGAAAAAGACGGTAAATCACACAGGGAATCTCAAAGTAGACCAAAAAACAAAATTATTTGCCCGAAGTCAGTGTGGTATGACAACGTGAAAATGCATATTATAAACATGTATGCAAGTAGCACAAAGCCATATCAGCAGCCGTTCAGCCAAACAACTGGTAGATAAGTCCGAATCTTAAAGGGCAAACAGTATGCACGTGATAATGGAGACAGAAATTGTGGGACCCTTAAGCTTCCCTTTAAGAGTTAAACGCGACAGCGATACCCACGTGTGTGTGCGCGCACACACACACACACCACCTTCTCAATTGCCAGCATGCCTTCGCTTCCCTGTGAATACCTATCGTTACTGCATCTACCTCGAATTTTCGCCCACAACCAAAGACGCCGACACCGGAATTACTGCGAAACGAGCGCATTAATTTTGTTGCGTTAAAATGACAAACAACAACAAACAAAACAAGAGAAAGTGGTCATTGCGCGAGCAGCCCTTAGCTAATTCCCAGGTGACAAGTGTCACATATCACTTCCGCGTTCAGATTCGCCTATACATGCGGCCTGCGCTTAAATAGGAACGTCGCATTCGCATCACTCTCGAGTCGTGGGAACTTCACAATGCAAAGAGACGTGCCTACAAAAAAAAAAATGTTGCCTATCATTGACAAGGTGAAAACGACTACAACAGTAGCATTACCACAATTTAGTTTTCCAACAACGTGTTGCGCTCAAGAAAGCGCTTGACTGCAGAACATAGCTATGCAGTGTCGACGACGACGAAATGCATTTCCAATAAAAACAAAAAAAGGAGCATGGCACGCGCCGATACAGACGGCCGTTCGAGAAACGAGCGCCAAAACAAAGAATGAGAAGCACGGCAAATTGCACACTCGGCACAACAATATGTCATGGCATTTGAACGCGCAGTGCAAACGAAGTCGCCTAAGCACGCTGCTTGGCTCTATCTCGAGCGTATACGCTACAGTGAACTGTACTCACTGTGTAAAGCCGATTAAGAAAACATAGAAGCGTACCTTGATTCCAGTCACCACGTGCACGAGGTGCAATGCGCATTTCTCCAACCACGTCTGCGGCTGTCTACGGCGCCGCCAGCGCAGCGTCATCCACAAAGATGAATGAATAGATGGATATGGCTGTACCCTTTAGATCGGGTGGTGGCTAGTGCCACCAAGCCGTAATACTTAATGAACCAAAATATAGAATTATTTTTTCTTTTAAATATTGAAGTTGAGGATTTGTACTTTGCACTGAAGGGTTTAATTTTCAATCATGCCTTGACTTTAGCCACCAATCAGATAACCTCCTAGTTATTTCTACCCGCTTAAAGTCTATTTTGCCCTCACTTTCCCTAAACCCCAGTGCTTTGAAGAACTCTGCGCCATAATTCTGAACTAAAGCGTGAATCCCTTTACAAAACATTATCAAGTGTTCGGCAGTTTCTTCTTTCCTTCCACACGCACTGCATACCGTGTCTACTCTTTCGTATGTGGCCCGATATGTCTTGGTTAGCAATACTCCAGTCCTGTCCTCAAACAGTAGAGAACTACCCCGAGTATTATCATAGATAAATTCGTTGGCAATTTCCTGCTTAAATGTTCAATAGATCTCTAGTGCGGACTTCCTGATCATGCCGATTCTCCACATGTTGGTCTCAGCTTCCTTCATCTACTCCTTAACCGATAATTCTTTTTGGTCTGGCCCCCCGCTGTTTTCCAAGTATATACCATTCAATTTTCTGGTTCGCTTCCTCCATTTTGTATCGACATTCTTCATGCACAAGTAGCTCAAAACCTTCCTTGCCCAACGCTCCTCTCCCATTACTCTCAATCGCTTCTCAAATTTTATCTTGCTGCTAGCTTCCCTGCCCTCAAATGATGTCCATCTCATATCAAGTTGTACGCCCTGATTTGGTGTATTCCCGTGAGCTCCTAAGGCAAGCCTACCTATTCCACGTTGCTTAATTTATAATCTTGCTTGAACTTCTGATCGCATGCACAAGACTGCATTGTCGAACGTCAGACCAGAAACCATGACCCCTTTCCATATTCCTCTCAAATCATATCTATTGTAATTCCACAGCGCCCTGTTTTTTATTACTGCTGCATTCCTGTTACCTTTAGTCGTCACGTATGTTTCATGTTGTTTTAGGTACTCAGCCCCATTGCTTATCCATAGGCCCAGATATTTGTATCTGTTATCTCTAGCGTGACCTTCTGTATTCTATGCTCACTACCTTCATTGTCATTAAAAATCATGACAGCTGATTTTTCTTACTGAATATGAAATCTAACCTATCTCCCTCATTACCGCAAATGTCCACCAATCGCTGCAAGTCTTCCTTGTTGTCGGCCATTAGCACTATATCATCCCCATACATCCATGCTGGTAGTGTCTGTTCAATGAGTTTTCCTTGTTGTTTGACGAAAGAGAGGTTGAAGCCCAGTCCACTTTTCTCTAATTTGGCCTCTTATCCTTGTAGGTACATCATGAATAATAAGGGTGACAAAGGACACTCCTGCCTAAGTTCCCGTTTTACCTCTGCAAACCTGAATACCTGTTTTTTTTCCTTTATAACTACCTTGTTACCTTTATAGATATCCTTTAAAAGATTAGTCACTACATCTTCCACGCCTAGTGTGTCCAGTGTTCCCCACGATTCCTCTTGAACTACGCTATCGTAGGCTCCCTTGATATCCAAAAATGCTAGCCACAGGGGCATGTGTTCCTTTTCTGCTATTTCGATGCACTGCGTCAGGGAGAACAGATTGTCTTCCAACCTCCTGTGTTTTCGAAACCCATTCTGCAGTTCCCCCAGCACCCCCTCATCCTCTATCCATGCCTGCAGTCTTTCCTTTATAATTTGCATCGCAAGCCTGTAGATCACTGATTTCACTGTTATAGGACGGCAGTTGTTTGTGTCAGCGTTGTCCCCCTTTCCTTTATAGATCATGCTCATACTTCTAAGTTTCCATCCATCGGGAATTTCTCCAACGATTATTATTTTGTTCACTGCCTCTCTCAAAGCCTGCTTAGAATTCTGACCTAATGTCTTTATTGGCATAATTGGACTGCCATCTGGGCCTGTTGATGGAACCCTTTTCTCAGCCCTTTCCCACTCTAGTTGTGAAAATGGAGCCATTGTGCCACTTGATTCATCCTTGTCTAATGTGGTGCCTAAAGCACTTTGTTGAAACTTTTCTGCCACCCTTTTTCTTAAACATTCAATAGTTCCGTCCCCTTCTAGCCTGGCACCTTGAACTGTAGTTTTAAACCTCTGCTCTAGGCTCGTCTCATTTTTTAGGGAGTTTTGATGGTTCCAAACTTTCGCAGCTGCCTTTTTATCTTTTTTGTCTACTTCTGCGACCCACTGAGCACCTTTTCTTCTAATCTTTTCATTGATCAGAAGGGATGCATACCTTCTACAGCTTAGAAAGATGTCCCATTTTCTTTCAACGTCATCTGTCGGTTCACCCGCTGCTTAGCATGTCTGTGCTCTCCAGAGGCTTCCTGACGTTTTGTTATGGCTCTCTTAGCTTCCTCATCCCACCAACTTTTGGGTTTGTGTCTTCTTTTCCGGGGTGACTTGTTACGTGCCTTAGCAAGCTCTAGCTAAGCCTCATTAGATTCGTGTATGTCCACATTGTTTTATTATCCCCAGTGATTACTTTATCAATTTTTTAGTGGCTATTTCAATTTGCCTTTCTCAATAAAAATTTTCCTGTAGTTGCTCATCTTTTCTCCTTCCCACTTTCACTGTTCTTCTAAAACTTCGCTTGATACGTTTGAGATCACTACACAGACTTCTGGAGCCACCTTCATCTATATGAATTCTCCTGAACTTATCATACAACCTATGTGACATCAGTGCATAATTTATCGTCGGCCGCAGCCTTACTACCTCTAATGTTATTTGCCCTTCACACTTCTCGGTACCGTTGCAAATGATCAAATCACGCCTTTCACATATATCGATGATCATTTTGCCTGTCGGGTCGGTATACTCATCCATATCTTCTATGTGTACATTCATATCTCCAAGTATAATTATCTCGCACTCTCCTCATAACTCCTGAATGTCATTTGATATACACTCTACCATTGCCTGATTTTCCTCTCTGGCTTTTGCTCCCGTCCTCAAGTACACGAAACCAAGGAGTGTCATTTGCTCTGCCACTTTCCCTTTAAGCCATAAATGTTCCTTGCACTCCTGTTTGACCCTTTGCCAGTATCAACTTTTATGAATGAATGCCCCAATACCGCCCCCCTTTCTGCTGCCTTCTGTTCTATTACAATTTTCCCACGCGTAGTCTGCATTGTTAGGAGGGTGTTCCATGTCCCTGAAATGTGTTTCTAAAACCGTATACCATCGGCCTCTCATCCCTTAGCTGTTCTTTTACCTCTTCCCACTTCAGCCTGTTCCTACCACCCTGCATGGTATTATACCTATATCTGAATTGGTTCGGCGTTCTTGGCTACGTCTATTTCTGCCCCAGACTCTACCTATTTTAGATACTGGTGCCACTTTGGAATCATATCTCTCCATACCACCTGTCAAAGAGTCTCCCTGGTTGTTTTCCTCGTTACTAGCTATACTGCACCCCGAAGGGCTCGCTTGCCCCCCAAAAAAGCTACTGCGCGTCCTGCAAGTCGCCAACCCACCTCATGACCTAGCCGCCCATCGAAGTGAATTCTGTCTCGTTGAAACCCCCCCCCCCCCCCTATGCACCTCTCTGTTTATTTCCACCACCTCAAAGCCTTTCTCTCGACTCATCCGCCATATCTCTTGGTTTGCGTAGACCACCGCTCTTTGCAGGTTGCTATCACGCACCGGTACCTCCGGTATCGTGCATATCACTACCTGTACCTTAGGAGAAGGGGCGCGCATGTCATCGACGCCTTTCGCCAGTGTGGCTGCTAGTCCTGCTGCATCTTCATTTAGGACATCTTTTAAACCGCCTGAAATTATCACGAGGTTTCGTCTATCAGCTGTCGTTTTGAGCTTTGCGCTCGCTTGCCTCATGACTGCTTCCAGCTTGCGTCCTGGGAACGCCCCTACAGCAACCCTCTTGTCACCTCTTACCCTCTCTTTGAAGACTTCTGTGCATCGATTCAAATTCGAGTTCCTGGCGATTATCAAATGCTGTGACTTTTCAGCTGGAGCGTCCTGCACCTGGGGGCTACTTGCACCTGTGACGCCGGCTGCTTTGTCCCCTACCAGCCCCACCACTACTTAGCTGAAGCTATGCCTTGCGACAATTGAACCGGCTGAACCTGTTTCTTCCGAACTTACTTTGTCTTTCTTCGCCGCAGTTCTGGTTGCCGGTTCCCTACTGTTCTCTCCGTAGGCCGCTCCTGTGTTCCCCTTAGCTAGTGCTTCCTCGGCGGACTTCAGTCTTTCTCCCATTGCCCTCGTTTTCTCTTGCTCTGTCGCCAACGCAATTTCGAGTTCGGCGATTGTCATCAACAGGTCACTCTGGGCAACCATCATTTTCTCCATTTTTTCCTCGACCTCACATTGCCAACACTTCGCTTCAGCCTCTTCTTCTTCCGCTTCTACACTTGGGTCCACTTTCAAAGCCACCCCACATCCTGAACACTTTACAGACTTTTTAACCATGTCCTTTCGGCACCAATTGTCCCTATGACTTGTCTCACTCGATAATTACAAAACTAGAGCCCTGCCCTACTGAAAAGAGAAATTACAAGCTCTCCTACAAAAATGTGCGTGTTCAACGTACGTGCACCTCCCCCACGGGGTGGCAAAAGAAAAACAACAACAAAAAACAAAAAAATCAAACACGCACACACGAACAAACTAATGAATACCTGGTGACTGACCCCCGAAAAAGCCGTACAATAAGATAAGTGCAACAGGGATTTTCACTGCTGCCTTATAATTATAAAGACAAGCTCAAAACATGCAAAACAACTTATCTGCGCAGTCGATCGGGCGCGCTCAAAATGCAAAGATGAATGGATAGATGAATGGATATGGCTGTACCCTTTAGATCTGGCGGTGGCTAGCGCCACCAAGCCGTATACTTAATGTACCAAAAACTAGATTTATTTTTTTTCTT